GTGCTACATCTGTATGTTAGAACTGCTTTACAAATGGTTCTTAATGATTAATAAAGTGTTTACAACCTAATTCATAACCTAATTATAAACCCTTTATGAATCATTTATAAGGGTAGTCTTATTGTAAAGTGGTACCAATTGTTTTAAATCAAAATAGAGAGCAAGAACCACACATTTAATTAAGTTTTTGAAAGCTTAAATTCAAAACATTATCCAGTTGGCTTCTCCAATATCAGAATTGGTATTGTTTCTTTGTTTTATTTCATATCATATATATTTAAAAAGCATAGGCTACACATACAAGACTGTTTTTGGTCAAACAAAATATGACATTTAAAGATGTCGTCCTTTGGGCCCTGGTAAATTATTAAATCTGCTTTTTTTAAACAATTGTCTTGGCTGGCGTCTCCCTTAGGGATAAGGTGAGAAGTTCGGCATGTCCAGTTGGGAAGAGACCAAGGGGTAGACCTAGGACCAGGTGGAGGGATTATATCTCTTCGCTGGCCTGGGAGCGCCTTGGGATCCCCCAGTCAGAGCTGGTTGATGTGGCCAGGGAAAAGAAAGTTTGGGGCTCTCTGCTGGAACTGCTACCTCCGCGATCCGACCACGGATAAGTGGGAGAAGATGGATGGATGGATGGATGTCTTTATCTTACAAATCAAGTCAAATGGTTACCGGAAGATTAAATAATTGGTCCCATTTATTTGGGAAATGTAGGCACTAATTTTCGGTTTCTCTTATCTGATTGTATTACTGTATCGATTACTTATTTTCTTCAAAAATGTAATGTCTTGTTTACATTCTCACACAAACACACTATACAATTGTTAATGATGGGCCATGGGTGGAGACACAATAGGCCTTTTGTGACTAACACCTTACTTTTCCAGAAAAACTGGCTTTCCACTTTCAAAGCTGTTCCGGTTAATGAACCAGTATCACATGTTCCATCAGTGGTGAGAAAGTCACGTTGCAGCCATGAGCCGTGACACAAAGTAGCTTAAGATACATGGATGAGCAACACATACTGTTAAATAACATAAAGGATATATTTATATATTACCTCTAAGTGTGCACTGATAATTGCAGAGACTGCTAGCAAGTTAGCTAACCCACCTAACAACAATAACAACATCTCACCTGTCAGTGCCATGTACTGCGGCTGGCTGGACTGGAAGCTCCGCAGCCGATCTCCGGTGCAGTTGCTCCCGACGCATTGCTTCACACAGTCCCGGTAAACTGGCTCCTTGTCGCCTTGGGATGCCTGCACGGTGGTTATATACAGCAGCAGGAGGACGGCGGTGGCCACAGCGGGGAACCGGACAGATGTGCAGCGGGCTAACATTACCGCTGAGGCCATGTTGGGGAGTCTGGGTCGGTCAGGACTCACAAAGGCACGGCGGGACGGGAGCTTCTACAGCCGACGTACAGCATTACCAGAGTCATTCCTGGAGAGAGGTGACACCGAGCCGGGCCATAAGTGTGTTACAGTGACAGTACAGTGTCTCCACTATTCGCATGGACTCTCATCAGGGGCCAGGGGGCAAGTTTCACACTCGCACACCATATCCGGTCAACGTTTTTCAAAATAAAACACTCGCTGATGAACGTTTGTAGAATATTTTGTTTTCAGTGATAAAATAAAATACACATTTTTAGATACATTCACATCTACGTTATGTGAAAAACTGCCACTTGGCTAAGATTGAAATGATAATTAACTGTTAGTCTTCTAATTAGTTTAATTCAGACAGGTATTGTAAAGCGACATAATGAAAGCTTTTGTTCTGAAGGAAGAAAGTTTTGTTGCAGTCTTTTTACTTCCTGTTTTGAGAAGGTCACGTGATTTCTTGATGTAAATATATATATCGATATAATAAAAATATAATATATATTTTTTGTTTATTAGACAATTGTTTTTTAATCTAGATAACAATAACAATAATTAAACAATATTAATTGTAATAATAATAAGAAGAAGAAGAACTGTGTTTTGAGTATGTTTTGAAGTATTCTCGTGTCTTACTCATACGAACAAAGTTACAATTAGCTAATTATTTATAGAAAAAACACAACCCAAGCACCCTTGGTTGGAAAAAGTAGCACATTTATATTAATTCAGTCGTGCACTAAATTGCATAGGTTATGATCCAGCAGTGTCTTCTTCCCTTTATATATACAGTTTATGGTTCTTCATCATAGTGGAAATAAGACCTGGTACTCTTAACGTTTTGAAATAGACATATTACATACACAGACATATCACAATGATATACAAATATTGAAAACCAGAAATAAAACAATATGTCCATACAAATCATAAAATGCAGTTTCATTACAAATACAACTAGTTTTAAAGGCCTTGTGATGTACTTCTTTATTAAGACCTGAGTATATTACAGCATGAAATCTAAAAGGATTACCACTGCAACAGCTTAAAAGAAAAACAGATATCATCTTGTCAAAATCTATGGCACTTCATTAATATCCTGCTGCCACAACAATTAACATCGGCACAGTGATTTCACATAAAACCATGAACTTTTGCATACAGAAAATGAAAAACCATCAACTATACACACATTTTACAACTAAGAAAGTAAACCAAACAGAAAGTAATACAACATTAATATAATTACATAAGAGCCGTTCTAATCTGAGGATCTCAGCGGACAGGAAGCGACAAAGGGCTGTAAGTAGTCCGATAAACAGCTCGGAGCAATGCCTTTAAGGGCTTTCTAAGTAATCAATTACATTTAAAAATTGGATGGTTATGATGATTTTTGAAATGCTCCAAAGAGGATGGAAGCATGATTAAATCAACCCGGATTAAACCACTGATTTTACATTTTACATTCATTTATGCTGCCAACATTTTAGCCAATCCAGTTTTCCCAGATTGTTTAAATGCAAAATGAGGGACACTGCATTTCCTAAATTAGTGATGCCCATCATTGGAATCATCATAAGACATTGAATGGTTTGGTCATCAAAGTGCAGAAACTTTGAGAAAAGACAAACAATTATTGGAGGAAAATAGGAAGTAAAGGTAACTACAAGGTTGTTGATGATGATCTGCAGAGCCTTCTTCTTCTGGGGGTGGACTTCTCCTCCACCAGGGTTAGATCTCTTCAGGGTCCAGAGGATGGAGAAGTCACAAAGTCCAATTACAGGCAGAGTCAGAGAAAAAATCAAGATCATGGTGGGGTCAGTCAAAATCGCACTCTCTATGGTAGTAACATAATATCCATAAATTAGTGTGACAGCCCAAACACCAACAGCCACCAAGACCCTCGGAGTCAAACTCTTTCTCACTCGATACGTAACAGGATGAACTACTGCCATGTAGCAGTCCAGACAGATGCAGGTAATAAAGAGAGGCCTCCCACACAAGTTGAATGATAACGTGGTGTAAAAAAATGTTGCATACACAGGGTTAATTTTGGTTAATATGGCACCCAATTTTGGCAGTAGAACGGTCAAATAAAGCGCATCCATGATGGGGAGATTTGACATGAAGACATCATTGGAAGTGAACGGGGTTCCCTTTCTTCTTTTCTGAAAAAGGTCCAAAACGACGGCCACAGGTCCAGGAAATCCCAAAACAAAGGAAACAACAGTGGCAAAAACCCAGAATATATGACCCTCCTGTTGGTCTTCACACATTATATCCTCCGCTGTTGCATTAGTGTCATTAATTAACCAAGACATTTAGATTGCTTCTAAAGAAAATAACCAATATGTTCTATTACTCTCCTGTTTATCAATTAAAAGCAGCAGCAACTGAACAATAAACCGACCTCTCGCTATAAGCAGTGCTTGAATTGGGCCGGTACTCACCGGTACGCAGTACCGGCACTTCTGATTTTTACCCATGTGGTACCGGCACTTCTTACTGAGTAACGGCAAGGTGACGGTACTCAGTAAAATGCCGGTACTCAGCCGCCGGCAATATGCGTATATATTGTAAACGCAACGCAGCGCAAATGTGGGTCTGACTCTGCCTCACAGAGGGTGACTGGCTGTCTACATGACGTGGCCTGCCGACATTGCCACTTTCATACAGATCATACTAATGCCCTCCATTGGTCTCTGTATGTCATTCAAGCTCGGGAGGGTGTGTGTTGGTGTATGTGTGGCGCGAGCGAGCGAGAAAGCGCGCACACCGGTTACGTGTATTGTTGTTAGCATCTGGTGCTAGCTAGCTGCGCTAACGGATATAAGGAGCTGTTTCAACAACAAGGTGGAGGGAAAGTCCTTTGCTGTCAGACTGAGAGGCTGATAACTACAGCTCTGGTGAGGTAAATTAACTGTTCCCAAATAGATTTGCAATTTTTTTTAAATAGTAACCCATCTCCATATGTTTCTTTTTGGGTAGTAGATTTAAACTAGAGGGCTATCACTTTGTGCAGCAACGCTATTGACAAATAAATCCAGCAAAATGGCACAAAAAACTGGTAGTGGCCTCAGGGACGAGGAGTCATTTAACCAGCCAGTAGGAGTCAAGCTTTACTTTCTTTTATATCCATAAAGAAAAAGTAAATCTGTTTGCAGTTGTTTCATTATGGATGTTGAGAGGTATCCATATATCTCTTAATTTTGATCTCAAAGTGCACCAGATTGATGCATCTAACTTCAATATTTAAAAAAAATGTTCCCGGGGGGGCATGCCCCTGGACCCCCCTAGACTAGAGGGTGTCAGGTCCACTTATAAAAATAGCACTTTACCACTGCACCCCCTCTAATCTCAGATGCACCCTGAGTCATTTTGTTTAAGTACAGTGAGCCTTTCTATAATATACAGTAAAGAGACAAATCCACCAGCATTATAGGATATACTATGACTTTGTGCCAAATACTTTTTGCTGATTTAGAGTACTGGAACCTTTTTTATTCCAATTCAAGCACTGGCTATAAGTAAAAAGACAATATGACCAGCTGTGTTTCAGAGGGCATCATTTGTATAATGTATGTGCGACAGTGGATGTTTTAGTTGAAAAGGCACACCATTATCATCCGTCACACCTGTCAATGGACCACAATTTTCCACAGAGATTTGAATGAGTTTTACTGTAAAATCAGGAAAGGGAAAACATTCATTTTAAATAACATCTGTTCAAAAAGTGAACGAAGTAGAACCAGTGTCAGATATGTCTTACATGTTTTTAGACACACTGGTGGGCAAAAGCCCACATGAAGAACTTTAAAAAAAACAAAGAACATTTAAGAGAAACTCAAATTCAGGACATATTGAACGATTGTGACTCGTAGTCTGAAGCCACGCTATAGGTCTAAGTGCTAACGTTGGCATGCTAACATGCTCTGATTTTTATTAGGGGCTCTATGACAGCTAAAGGTTACAAACTAAATAAGGTGCCTTGCTAAAGTTCACCTTAAAAGGAGTGGTTGAATCAGCAGAATTTAATATAGCAACCCTCAATTTACGGGACGGCTTTGGAAAAAACTACCGCTTCATAAACTGCCTAGCCGCTGCCTACTTAATTTGCATTTATTGCTGCCTGCAAACATGAGGGAGGCGTCATCTATGGAGTCATAGAAATGCTAAAAAAACATCTGTGAAAACAAATAAGAACATATATGTGGAAATATAAAAGATGAATAAATAAAGAAATAATGAAGTAAATAATGAAGTATTAAGGGAAATAAGGAATTCATTGTCATTTTAAAGATACAACAGAATACAATTCTGTTATGTCTTTTATTTATTAATTACATTATTTCAGTTTATTATCCTTTATATAATTGTTTTATATTATTTTATTCATATGTATTTTACTCTTTTTTCTTATACATTTTTTATTGAAATAATATCCATTATTTATTTGTATCCTTTTTTTTCCTTATTCTTTACTTTATTGCTTTCGTTTTTTCCCTACAACTCTTTGCTTTATTGCGTTTCATTATGATATGTTTGAGCTATCTCACTTAAGGATCATTTAAGTTTTGGCCAATCCATAATTGGGAAATCCTTTTAAAAGTTCCCCATCCAAACCTTTATAATGTTTACCACCGTGTGCATGTCACAGTCAGTGCTCTACGGTCAACCAGAACTGCCATCCCCCCTCGCCCCACTTAAACCAACAGACACAGCGTCGTACAAAAGATGTTGTTTTTATTTTTACTTCTTTATTTGTTACAGACACAATTGCGACAACAGGAGAGAAACTGCAGTGAGAGTGAAGAAGAAGAGTCAAATACAAAGACATTTTATGTTTGTACATTTCTTTTCCTGCCTCCCGCTCACCAGCCTTTCACCATCTCTGTCTCTATTTACAAGACATGCTTTACCATTTTTCACTGCAACTTTTCCTTTCATACCCGTGTTTAAGAGAGGGAGAGACCCGATTAAAAAGAGGAGGGGAGGCAAACTATTATAGTAAAGTGCTCCTACTCTTTTACTGTGCACCCCTCTCTATTGCAAACACAAGGACGAATCCACGAAACACTCTGTTTCAGGTTGAGACTAGCAGACTTTCCCTTTCCTTGTTTCAAGTAGTTGACATGCACCATAGCACTCAAGAGACACTTTCGATTGACCGCTTTATACACTGGAC